TTGTACAGATTGAGAAGTAAAATAAAAGAAGTATGAAAAGTTCCTAAATACCTTTATAAAAAGTATTACATACTACCACCCATAACAGACCTTTTTTATGTAAGTGCGCGCTATCTCTTGGTTAATTGTAACAATGGATAAGACGCCAGCAGTTATTCTTATTATTATCAAATGTTTGGTCAAATGTATTAACATTGAAAGAATTTTTTTTTTCAACTTTTAGTGGTTTTGTATTTCTAGTTGTAAACTAAAAATGCTTTAAACTATTGAGTTTATCTAAATTTTATTTAACTATTTAGATTTTTTTACATTCACGTTTTCAAGGCTTTATAGAAACACAAGTGAATTTAAAAATATTAATTTTATAACTTAATATAATTTACAAAAACGAAAAAGTTAATTACAACGACAATTACTTAGTTCACTTAATTTTGTATTGATTATAACACTTATGGTTCCACTTTCTTTTTTTTTTGGTCTGAGTACGTGTGATTCCACGTACTTAAGTCAGGGGCAACGGGTCTTCAGCTGACAAACTTCCAAAGAAAGAATGTATTAATGAGCAGATTATCGGTGGAAATACTTAATTATTCCTTCTTTAATACACTCCTGGGAAAATAAATCAGCGAAGATTTTTGACTTTGGTACTCACGTATATCGTTCTCGTCCGATAGGAAAACAAGTTACTTAACAGATTACTTTACATTACCTTTGTACCCACTTAGTATTTTTATTAGTTTTTTTAATCTACTCACAACTTAAAGTTAGGCTCACTTAAACATACGTTAGCTTAATTATAGTCACTTAAGAGAACTACTCTGAAGTTGGACATGATAAAAAAGAAAGAAAAAGGTAAATACGCTCGCAATAGAGCACGAGGAGAAAATAACTAGATTGATGACTATAATTTGCCCAGACTTACTGTTCCGAAAGAAACTTCCAGTATCCTGAACAAAACTGATATTTATGTCCAATCTAACTGTCTGACATCTCTGAAAACCGGTTGCAGTTTCTCAAAATATCACCGGGGTTATAAATTACAAGATCTCTCAGCAATCTCGTGATGTAAGACTGTACATCACGTCGACAGGGGGTAATTCTTCCCATTTGAACATGAGCAGGTTCAACGTAAAGCCTATTGGTTCCTGTGTCGTTACATTATATTCCAACATCACATATGGCAAGTTTGCATCCCAGTCAGTCTTATCAGGTGTAACAAACTTTGTAAGCACTTGCTTGTTAGTTTGTTACTACCTGTTTTGTCAAACAATCAGACCGTGGATGATAAGGCGAAGTACAAGTATTCATTACACGTAATACTTGATACAACTCAGCTATTGAAGTTAGCTCCCTGCTCATTGTGGATTTCTTCCAGTACTTTGAATCATGTTGTCCAGTTCTTGGTTAACACATCCACAACGGCTTGCATTAGCGCATCAATCAATGGACATGCTTCGTCCCACTTTGTGAGGCTTGGCATGACCAGGTAGTTAGGGCGCTGGACTCGCAATCTGAGGGTCGCGAGTTCGAATGCCCGTCCCAACAAACATACTCGCCCTTTCAGGCGTGGAGGCGTTATCATGTGACGGTCAATCCCACTATTCGTTGGTAAAAGAGTAGCCCAGGAGTTGGCGGTGGGTGGTAATGACTAGCTACCTTCCATCTAGCATTTCACTGCTAAATTAGGGACCGCTAGCACAGATAGCCCTTATGTAGCTTTGCGAAAAATTCATACCAAACCCACTTTGCGAAGTGTCTGATGGCGACGAGTATGTAGTGACGACCTCTCGCAGTCTCTGGGAGTGGGTAAGCGATATCCAGGACTTTCCTTTGCAGAGTAGACCCAGTAATTTTCTTTTGGAGTTTAACCTCTCTTGACTGTTTTTTTTTTCCTCTGGGTGGCACACACCATACATCACTCACTCCAACACTGAATATTTTGACTCACTAGTGGCCAGAAGAACCACTGTTGAATGTTAGTACAAGTGTGACCTCCACTTTTTGTGCTGTACAAAGTCCAGAGTATTTCTTACCGCATAGCTTTGGGGACTATTAGTTGTGGCACCGTCTGAGCACCACACCAAATGGGTTGATAACAAAAGTACAGCATACCTTTTTGTTATTGTAACTGCTCGTACAAGTGTTACGGGTTATATGAATCCATGATGAGCTCTTCTATTACTGCTGATAGGGCTTGATTTCGCTGGACAGCAAGAAGCATCCATGCTAGGTCATGGTCCTTCAGTTGTTCACCCAGAGGATAAACGTCCTACAATACAAGTAGTGACGATAATGTTTTACTAAGGCAACCACTGCTAGCAGCTCTTTTTTTTACTCTACATATCTGCATTTGGGAACCATGAATATATGACTAGGATACACATTCTAATCCATCCTGCAATTGTGATAACATTGCTACAGAGAAACTCAAAGTCCTGACAGGGATAGACTAGCATTGGAGGACACACTTATGTAAGTTTTAGAGATTGGAATGCCTGATTACATTCCTTGATCCATTCAAAGTGTGCCACCACTTTCGCGAGAGCCGACAATGGTGCAGCTATCTTCGAGAAGTTGGTCACAAATCGTTGGCAATATGATGACAAACCAAAGAAACTGAAAAGTGTTTGCTTTATGATGGGTTGAGGCCAATATTTTATTACAGCTATCTTAGCTGGGTTTAAAGGCACTCATTGTCTCTACACAATGTGGCTGAGAAACTTCACTTTTTTTCACATAAGCGAACATTTACCTGGCTTAATTTTCAAACCTGCTTTTCGTATGCACTGGATATCATCTTCCTGTTCTCAGACGTGGATTCAAACGTTCAGCCAAACACCAAGACTCTCCCGTTGCAATTCCTTGAGTGTAAGCTCCATCAGTTGCTTGAAAGTAGCTGGTGCATTATATTGTTGTTAATCCCTTTGATAAAACTTTATTATGGTTGTGCTATATTTTCACTCTGCTTTCCCTTCTTATCCATCTACTTTATTTAGGTTGTACTTATTTGTATCAGTAATGGACTCATACTAGTGTAAACATAGTAAATTGCTGCTTATTATTATAATAAATAACACATAGATTTAGAACTATGTTTTGTTTCCTACTGAAGCATATTATTTTATTCCTTCATCTTTCTCACATCTCCCAGCCTTTCTTCTCTTGTCGTTGAATTCCCATCTTGTATATTCCTTTCTCAAACTTATACTGCAACAGGTTCCATTTCTTTCTGAATTTGTACACATTTCTCTTATACCGGATTACAATGTCTTATAACCGTAAGAGGTTCCGTAATCTCCACACTGGCTGAACAAGAAAGGTAACAACTCATCCGATAATTTTCTAATAAGTTAAAGTGCTGTAATTCCCTAGTCATTTAGATAATGACCAAAAGCCAACCTATTTCTCATCTCTCTCAACTCCATATGATGTTCCTTACACCTAACTCCATAACATATACAGACCAAATGGCATAACGCATAAGCTTTCTGACTTATCTCTGAGCCAATGGTGGAGGCAGCTTGTTCGACCAATGGGAAACTTCTAAAGCAACCAACCACTTGTCTGTTTGTGGTAAAGGAAAGGTGACAATGCAAGATACTGTGTTTACCCATTGAAATACTATCCAGAATCTTGACATATCTTCCTTCTTTCTGACAAACACTACTGGAAATTACCAAACACTTTTGCACTCACGATCTCCCTTGTGCCCCAATTAATTCAATGGGGTGATTGCTTTATCAGACACATGTCACCTGTATATATGGTGTTGAGTCATCATTGTTCGACCCAATTAGCATTTGATACCAAAAATGCATTGCTATATTCACCCAACAACTCGTTGAGCTGTTTTTGCTGTATTGTATCTAGATTCTTAGCACAATTATCAACCAATAACCCCATATCTGCTTTTGTCCATAGTGTGACAGATGCAATCTTAACATTACCATCAGCATTGGTTACTTCCATTTTACTCACCATGGCTATAACCATTACAACATCTAACTGGATAGCTATTCGGCCATAGTTAGAAAGCAACACTGAGACTTCATCTCTTTACAACTGGATCACTACCCATGCTAATGCTTCTCTGGTTTGTGGACATAAAGGAACTTACTTTATATGTGGCTTCTACGAATGTAGTACACAACACTGACACACTAGACTCTGTTCGAACTAAACCATGGAACATCAATTTCACAGGTAAAATTTACTGACAGACCTCACAGCATGTCAATCCCAAGGATGTCAATTCCAGATTTTAGATCAGATATGGCTACTTTAATTCTGTGGAGAACATCTCCTAGACTTAGCCAAAGACCAACTTTCTCTAATGTCTAGTCTATTGCCATTTGTCGGAATGAAGTGGGTATTCACTGGTCATAGCAGTGATCTTACTTGGAGGGCTTGAACTCAACCTCTTGCCTTTGTACCATTATCAGCACATAGAAGCTCCACCCAGCCCTGACACAGCTGGGATGACCACTAAAATATTTGATTAAGCATGACAATAAGTTCCCCAGAACATTTGCTACAGTATCTTTTGTGGGTTGCTGGTTATCCTGGACTTGCTGACAGTTGAAATCGATAACTTTGCCTATTCTCTTGCTTGGAAAAGTGCTGATGTTGTGGATAGGTGGACATTTTGTTTTTTTAATTGGTTGGAAATGACGGCTCTGCCATCTTTACTGTGCTGCAAAGTATTGTTAAGTCTTTTACAAGTGCCCTATTAGCCCACAAGTGAAGATGTTCCATTCATTCCATCGTGACAACGTCTATGGCTATGGTACATATCCCAAAGGTAGACCTGGCGTTGTCATATACCCTTGTGATGGTATATACCATATGGGCAGAACTTGCTGCAATATATATCTTATGGGAGGACTTTGTTGCAGTATGTACCCCTGTGTAGCCCAGTTAATTCAATGGAGGCCAATATGGTTGCATTGCATTACCATTTTGTATAGGCAACTGGTTGATAACCCTCCAAATGGAGTTACCCACTCACAGTGGAAAGTTGCACCATCCACCAGTAGAATTGTAATTACAGCTGTCACAGTAAGCTTCTTCCTCTCCAAAAGTTGGTTTGAAGTGACCACTTCAAATCGTTTTTCAATGAACACTACTTTCATGAGAGTGATTATGTCCCTCATTCCCAGGCACTATTGTATAAAATCATTGGAAAGTATTTGAATGAACGTATTCACCAGGATGCCCTTCCGATCTGCCAATGCCAGGCATCTGGCACAGATCGTCCATGTAGATGGCCAGTCTCTTGAACTCAGCTCAATAGATCACCTGCTTATCCATTAGATCAAAATGGCAATAACGTTTGTACGCAACTGTTTTCTAGTCATTCTGCTTCCTCGTATCTAGGTGTTTTACAGCACTAAAGGCTAGACTATCAAAGTTCAAAATCAGATATTGCACATCTTGTTTCTGAGTGCATCTATTCCAGGTAGTGACCTATCTGAAACATTTTAAAAGCCAACAAGATCAGTTTCCAGGGATATCATCTGCTCAAGTAGTCTGGGTACACAAGACACAAGTAAATTTCTCTGAATAAGCAGTTGCAGCCTTACTGATGACCTTGATCTTTGCAGCATTGGAGAAACTCCTAAGTTCACGAAAGAACTTCCTCTAGACTCGAAATTTCTCCCATACAACTGTCTTTCTCCACCATTAAACTCTCCCTGTGAGTACTTCTACATCTAAAAAATGCCATTCTTTTTGTGATAAGAATTTCTCAAGAAATAAAGCAAGTCCTCTCAAGCCGAATGTTATATGTTACTGCAATATCCTCTCGGGCAGAATAGACATTATCTACTATACAGATCAAAGAAATACAGGAATAATGAAATATCAACGACTTCCTAGATTACGTTTTGTTATTAAACCTGCATACAAACTAAATAAAAGAAAAATATTAGAAATTCCCATATCACTGAAACAGGTAAAAACCGTTTGGTATATCTACATATCACAGTTATATAGTATGATTTCAATTTTTGGGATTGAAAGATAACTTGCAGGAGTATTGGAAAATAAAATTTTCACTTATTTACCTCAAATTAGTCGTTTTGCAAACCAATGCCACTATCTACTTTAGATTTGCTATATGGATACACAATGTAAGCTTTAGACAGAAGTAAGTAAAATTGTGTTTGTTTATAAGAGCAAATTCATATTGGACTATCTGCTGGGTCCACCACAGGAAATCGAAACCCATATTTTAGCATTGTAAGTCTGTAAACTTACTGCTATTCCAGTGGGGGACGTAAGACTATGTCACAATATTGTTCATCGATTTGAAGTTCGAAACTAACCTTATACTCTATACAAATGCTAAAAGTGAAATTACTAGCTACCTATTTTGAATATTGATTGATATAGACAATTATGACTCATTAATTAAGACCATCGTTTCATTTAGTTTACATTCTCTATTAAGTTTACATTAATCATGAAGTTCTATAAAAATCGTGGCTACATCAATGCTTATGTCCAAGAGCGGATTCACACTTTTTTGGCCACCTAGAAACAGTGGTGATTCCAGGATGCTGAATGTGGAGAGAGGCGAGGGTGTGGCAGACAGTCGGGTTTAGAGGAAAAGTGGAAGGAAATATATGTAAGATAAAGTAAGAAGCTGTAAAAAAGAATGATTACTTTTGCAGCAGGATGTTTTCATTAATAATACAAACATTTCTCTGTTGTACAAGGTTCTTTGTTGGTTTGGCGTATTGTTTTCATTGAGGTATCATACTGACTCTCCAAAGTAATTACATAATTGATTAACTTAACTCTTCTCAGTGAACATTTTACAATTTAAATATAACTCCATATAATAGCTTGTACAATTTCAAACATTGAAATATGAAATGCATTAATAAGTTATAAAACAGTTTCATTTAATGTTATAGGCATTTTCTTTAGCGGTTGTTGCGACCTAAAGTAACAATTTAGTTTTCTCTATAGACTTGGTGCTGAGTAACTGTGTAATATTCGTAATTCGTACTGTATAATTGATTGTAAATATAATAGGTCTAACCATATATTGGATAATATTTCATTGGGTGTGTTCCTCGAATACAGTTTCCTAGTAACTAAAGACAATGTGTTCTGGGGAATGTAGTTTTAGATAAAGTTTTTAGTGAACATTTTAGGAGAGACGGACCAATTTAAGGAGTGGCTGATGTCACATCCTATCAACCCACACCTAATCTTAGGCATTGTATCTACAGATCCTCCATCGCCCTGGTGGACCATTAGTCCCATATCGGCCGTTTTTTTGTGTGTGTGTGCATGTGTGTGCTAATATTAGGACTTGTCCCGACCTTCCTCGTTTCTCTCGCCGACTTTTGCTTGCTGCCAAATCAAACCTCCATGGTAAATATTATTATTATATATATATATTTTTTTTCCTTACTGGTTTTTCTATCAAAATGAAGCCAACCACGAAATGTTTAATCACGAGCAGGGTGAAGAGAAAATACTTTCTGAACACCTCCGGTTATGTATGGCCCTAAGTCTCCCTGACTTCCAAGAAATTATGAAGGCTTTGGATTGTCCGGAGTGCATTTTTAAGAGGCTCTACCTCACTCTTAGTATCCTGAAACACGAGTTTGAAGAGATGGCCATAACAATGCGCATATATTCCTCGTGATGAGCACTCTTTCATTAGAGTCACTACTCCTTTACGAATGTTATTCATATTAGACACACCATTGAAACATTCACCGACAGTGTCTTCCAATTTCAGTCCAAGTCCACCAATAACCCTTTTTACGAGTTTATATAACACTTCACCCTCAGTTGATGCTGTTGAAAAGAATCCATTGAATGCTTCTTTCGTTTTACCCTCCAAAACGTATCTCAGGCTGAATGCCACTTGCTCTATTTGGCTAACATCCGAGGTTTCATCCATGATTATTCCAAACTTTCTGCTCATAAGCACATCGTAGATGATCCACTCCACAAGGAGATTGAATACAATTCTAATATTTCGTTTTAGGTTGATGGCGATATCCACTGAGCATGTGCCTTAAGTTAACTTTGTAATTTTTCTTTGAGCCACGGGAGATCCTTGCACCTGAGGTGCAACAATTCCAGGAAATTGCCTCTATTAATATTGGACATTTAATCAATGTTTGCTTTGTCTTTCTCATGTCCTCTTATTGCAATATTTTGTTGCACAGTAGAGATCAGGCACTCAATTATTATATGTATATACTTGCAATTGCGAGGATCTGCTATTTATGAGCCACATCCAAATGATGCAAAACAGAAGTCTGGTGTTTTGCATTGATCTTCAAACTGACACACTTCGCCATTGCCTTCTTGTGATTATTGCTTCTCGAATGTTTTCTGAGTCTGTGACTCTTTTTACAATTATCAAACATGAATTTGATATCCCCCATAAACATCCTGCAGGGAAAGCACACACATAATGACGTTTCCCCACATCAAAGCTAATCCGGGGACATGTTTTATACCATTAGGGATTGAAATCCCTGTAAGAGGTTTCTCTCCTGAATTTCTTTAGATTATACTCGTTTAGAATTGGTTGCTTAGGTGTATTCGAGGAGGTGCTTGACGACAGGTTGGGAGAAGAGTCTTTCATTGACTCTTGTGCCACAGCTGAAAGAGGTTTATAACTTTCGTCATCATCATCAGAGCTCGAATCAACGTCAGACATTACAATGAACGAATAATTTACAATGTCATCCTCTGCATGCGAAATATTGGAAACAGACTGATCTGTGGTTGAGACTGATACGACAGCGGAGTGATGACAGTCTCAGACACAACAAGCTGTGTTTCCTGGATAATATTTTCCATAGCAAAGTCTGAATCACACACACTGCGCTTAGCATCGGCAATCTCCTCTAATACTATTTATGGATGAACTATTTCTTCTGGTGGACTATTTTGTGTGGAAGGATTCATAGAAATACTGTTACTGGAAACGTTTGCTCCTTCCTCGGCAGGTTCCAGATTTCGACGTTTCGCACTCCCATTGAAGAAGCCAATGATTTGTGATGGATTTGCACCGATTACTACAGTGAATTTGACTTTCTTGCCTTTGTGAATTTTTTTCACCTGATTGTCAATTTCCTTCCCGCACTCTTCACACGTAACACTTTGGCGGTATTGTCGTTTGTGCAACTTTTTGGGATCAGACCAGGACAACATTTTTGCGAAACCCAAGGATCTGAAATTAAAAAGCGTGGCTGTTAGTATCCTGATAGTGAATGTATGCAAAGTGAAATTCATTTGGACACAATAGGCGACATGCATACTAATCATCAATGTGTGTATCGTTAAATATCACTAGATCCATTACGCAAGCATTTTATGAATTTCGCAAAATTTCATCAACAATCAATTATATAATGATAATTATAATGAAATCATAATTTCTGTGCAAAATGAGACTTAATAGTTTTGAAAGAGGAATAAATGTTAAATTCAAGATCAAATATTTCCATCAGTTTTACCATTAAGTTTAATTTCTCCACCTACACTGGTATGGAACTATGCAGGATTCTTGAAAATGAAACTACTGTTTTCCTATTTTGCCCGAATCTAAGGGAACAATTTGTTCGCCCGATTCGGTCTGTCCGTTTTTTGTCCCCCTCCCCGGGTCGTACGCCAATGTCCATGACGTAGACTTGTTTTGCTATTGGTTATATTATACCACGTGAACTCTCTATGACTGAGCAGCAGGTGACGTCTTTTGCAAAACATGTTTTCAAATTTATTTTTCACATTTTCTGTTAAAGTGCAATCTACAAATGCAAAATCTTCATTCATTTTATTATATGTATGCTAAATATTGTGGATCTAGGTTGGTGCGAAGAGCATTTTTATAGTTGCAGAGACAAACAACTCTTCGCTTCTAATCCAGCGTACCGTCGCCATTACTGTTTTCTCCGGCTTATGAAAAATACATTTTGTAAAAGCATTCTTTTATGTTAATAAAATATTTAATATGGTTTCTTTTTTTTTGCACTAGACCTAACATAAAAAGCAATAATAAATAAAAAAAAAGTAGGAACACTCCCCATTTTGCAGCGTTATTATCAGTTATATGCTTTATGACATGTGCAGAAACTTTAATTATAAGTAAATTTATTCATACCATATTATGCAAAGTTTGTAATAGCAATACAAGTTTAACACACTCCTTACATTATGACGTTTAAAATGATAACAAGTTTAATGGGGTTTGCTATAATAATGTACGTAATTTTTGCATTCCATCACAGCGGTGACAATTTTTACTTTTGGTCCAACATGGCTTGGGGTTTGAATGCCTGTCACACAGAACATGCTCGCCCTTTTAGACGTGGGGGCGTTAAATGTTACGATCAATTCCACTATTCGTTGGTAAAAAAAGAAGCCCAAGAGTTGGCGGTGATGACTAGCTGCCTTCCCTTTAGTCTTTCACTGTTAAATTAGAGACGGCTAGCACAGATAGTCCTCCTGTAGTTTTGCGCGAAATTCAAAAAACAAACAAACAAAATTTTTACCTTTGTTTTTCTTATATACCCCATGTAAGCGATTAATTCAACAAAAACAAAAGAAATCATAACTCCACTTCTAATCAAGAAAAATACATAAATTTGGTATCGTTTTAACTGACTTAAAAAGCTCACATGATTGAATTTCTTTTTCACAAACAATTTTTTGCAAGTACTTATTACATGTGTTCAAATAAACTATATATATATATAGGTCTAAACCGTCTAATACTTAGCCTAATATAGCTGTAATAATTATACACATATAAAGGACTGCTTTCAGGGTGTATTTGTAGATATATAATTATTAAGTTCAACCACTTTCTAAATCTAGCATACGGTAGTAGGTGGTTGTAGGTCCCCATAGCTTGATCGACACTATTGATATTTCTGATATAAGGTATTAAACGTAATAGTGTATTATTGTATAGTATTTGTATGTTATTTAAGTTGTTTTTTATTAGTATTCATAAACATTTGTATGTTCCAGTCTTTCAAAATTTCAAGAACTATTCTGCCATCAGGGGCTCAAAAGCGCAAACGAGAAAAGACGCAGAACTGATGCTGTATTATCGAAGAAGCCAAAGTTTAAAGTTTTTTTCAACTGAATACCTCTACGAGCATGTCGAACAGTCCAAAGGCATCTAAAGTACACACCAGACACCTGAACTACACACCAGACATTCAACTGCAGCAGATGAACAACCCAATACGATGGGTACGGATTCAACTCTCTCAAAGACTGTAATAAAGACTGTGAACTGATTCACCTGAGAAAACTCAGGTGCTACAATGTTAGGTTAGTACTTTGGTAGATGATGATGATAAAACTGACTGTCATCAGTTTAAAGAAAGACAGTTATGTACTGAACATGCTGGACCTTCAACCAGTAAATGCTATAAATACCAATGCCAAGCTAGCAAGGGCCAATCAACAGATCCTGCACAGTGGTTTCCAGTCAACTCTGCAACAGTCGATTACTGGCTGGAACAAGGACTAAAGACCTGTCAAAATAAGTGTGAATTTGGTGAATATCCTCACAGTGGTTTCCACAATATCCACAGTGGTTTCCAGTCAACTCTACAACAGCCGATTACTGGCTGGAACAAGGACTGAAGACCTGTCAAAATAAGTGTGAATCTGGTGAATATCCTTACTCAAGGTGCTATTACAAACCTTCTCATAACAAACCGAAAGGATATTATCTTCTTTTTTTCAATATCATGCTTTATGGTGAAGTTCATCATAGAAAAGGTATGTCATACAATCCCTCAAAAGGATCAATTTACAGCTTATATTGTACGCTGATGGGAAGTACAACAAACAAGCTGTCACATGTTGATGGATTCTCTCACTGGAAAAGAGCATAACAAAAAATTCGAAGTTTTGAAGAATACAAGAAGTGCATTTTGCAAGCCCGTGAGCGTAGTGAAAAATCTGGTCACATTGACTGCTATTTGGAACGCCAGATTATGGAAAGAAAACAGTACTGGTGTGAAGCATTACGTCGAGTTGTGAAACATTTATCAAAGAGAGGGCTAGCTTTTCGTGGGAGTGATGAGAATATCGGCTCAAAGTATAATGGCAATTTTCATGGGTGTATAGTTGATAGCAAAATTTGACCCTTTTATGGCAAAAACATCCATGACTTTGGAAACAGTGTACAAGGCAAGACTGGAAATATTGTCTACATTACTTTCTCAAGCTACAAAATAGGGATTTGTAGCTTGAGAAATTGATGTAGATACTATTTACAGCCTAGTTCGTTTACTCTTTCTTTTTTTTTTTTTTTTTTTTTTTTTTTT